ACTGAGTACAATATTGTATAACTGTATTAATTCAATGATAAACCTAAAAATTTACAGCCAATTTTGAAGGAGATGCATCTTAGCTCTGGAAATTGTTATTGAATATGTCAATGCTGTTATAATGAAATGCTTCTTCTGATTGTGTGGTTATTAAATAAATAATTTAAAAAAAAGAAATAAACCTAGTGCTGTGTAGCTTTTTTTCCCTATCAAAATGCCACAAATGAGTCAAGAAAGAAAGCTGTTTTTCTTTTTTTTAAAATGATTTTTAAAATTTAATTTATTTTATGTGTATGTGTGAATTGCCTACATGTAAGTGCATCCATGTTGTGAAGTGCCCACAGAGGTCAGAAAAGGGTGTTGGATCCCCTGGAACTGGAGTTATAGACTGTTGTTAGCTGCCATGTGGGTGCTGGGAATCAAACCCAGGTCCTCTGTAAGAGCAGCCAGTGCTCTTAACCTCTTAACCTCTGAGCCATCTCTCCAGCCTCAGCTTTCTTAGTTTCACAGTATTAAATCCTTTGTTGTATTTCTCTTTTATTTGTCTTTAAAATAATATCTGACCAAACTCAAGCCATCTTTCCTTTGGCTCTTTATTATTTGAGATTCAAGTGGGCTTTCACTAGTTCACTGTTCACCAATTGGCCAACAAACCTCGTTTTTGCAATTAATGTTTCTATTCTTGCTTTTCGCTTTTCTTTCCATCCAAATGCTTTGCTTTCCCTTGACATTTCTTTTGTAGTTAGTAGTTTTGTTTGCTTTTAAAATTTAGAATTTTTTTTTTTTTTTGAAAGAGAAGTTTTGCTTTAAAGGTCTGCCTCTTACTTGGTGGTGGTGGTCAGGGTTGAGGGATAAGGAAAATACATAATGGTAAATAAAGACAAGTATCAAGTAGACAAATTTTACCACTGGTTTCCTACAGCTGAAAGAACCATGTGTTTATAGTAGGTTTGTCTAGCAAATTCTAAATTATAAGTTTTAAATTTTTCCCAATGTATAAGAATCTTTTTCTGTACTTCCAGCATCTATAGACCTGTTCCTTTGGTTCCCTAAGATATTTTTAATAAATCCCAACATCCCAAGTATCTTCATGTTTTAGAATTAAAAATGACATGTAAGAACATTTTAAAGCATTCTATTTCTAAAGCAATCTGAACAAGAATACTCTTTCTGAGTATTGACAAAGAAAATCGAAATAAGAGCCAATCGAGCGTTTATATTCACTGTACTAAATGAAATTTTAACTTTGGGTTTATCTCCTATAGACAAACAACAGAAAGGTGAATTTGCAGTAGATGGCTACGATGTCAGAATGAATAACACCCTTAGGAAGGATGGAAAGAAAGATTGCTGTTTTGAAATCTGTGCTCCTGATAAACGTGCCTATCAGGTTGGAGTTTTTATGTTGCCTTGAAATTAAGTTGATAAGATACTCTGATTTCATTTATAGAAACATTAGCATTTTTTAAAACAGCTTTTCCTGACATATTAACAATAAAAAATACTGTTTTGTACATTGGACATTCATATAAAGAGGAAATACATTAAAATTCTCAGATTAGTTCCAGTGATATATCCTTGCCAAAGATCAAGTTAATCTGTAATTTTTCAATTACTTTACATGTAGCATTTTATATCTACCTAAAGAGAACTATGTGATTTCCTAAAATAATTGCATAGCAGAAAGAATAAAATTATCAGAGGAAGAATAGTAGAGTGTTAATGCATGTTGCATTGCTTAGGGGTGTGGGAGAAAATGAAGATAAAGACGCACATCAGCTCTGTAACTCGAGCTATCAGCTAGGCATCAATATGGAATGTATGTTTAATAAGTTTTAAATGTCTGAGATTGCAGTTGAAAGCCAGTTAATTAAGTTGTCAGGTAGTGTGTTGGAATCTGACAAGAACATTTTTAAGAAAACTGTATCCAGCAGTCTAAAGAAATTCATGGGTGTCTTCTAATTGTCAAGGGCAAATTTTGTTCATCGGTTCTGTGTTTGACATTGATGAAGAGAAGCAGCTTTTTTTCCTGCACAGCTGCCAGCTGCTGATCAGAGTTTCAAATCCATCATCCTCTGCTTCAATTACGTAAATTTGTCAAAATTAACTGTACATTATAAGAAGCATCCTTGCAAGAAAAGTACCACTAGACATGAAAGGAATTGCTAATGTTTTAAGAAATGATAAGAACACAGCACACCTTCAGTTTCTACTGATTGATTTCAATTCTTGTTTTTCAATTTTGTTTTTTTGTTGTTAGTTTACAGCCTCTTCTCCCAAAGATGCTGAGGAATGGGTCCAGCAGCTGAAATTTGTATTACAAGGTAAGAGCATCAATTGAACATTGTTATTACAATCCTTGAATATTAAGTAATGGTGTGATTTGGGTTTTCATATACAAAGACTTACCAACTTCTGTGAGAAGGAGCAAGAGATTATTGACTGATGATAGTCCATTTAATGGACTGGTAAAAGCATATTCCCTTGGAACAGTGGGCAACTTTAAAATACACACACAAAACAATTTTTAAAAATGTTTTAGATCAAGAATATAGTGAATATATAGCTGTTAGTTTGTAGAATTGTGTTTATTTAGGAAGTAAGGTTTTAAAATTCTCTTTTGCATTCTTTTAAAATTGTTTCATGAAATGTGCTTTGTAGACATGGGATCTGATATTATTCCTGAGGATGATGATGAAAGAGGAGAATTATACGATGACGTTGATCATCCCCTTCCAGTCAGCGGTCTGCCAACAAGTAATCAGCCAATAGATGATGAAATTTATGAGGAACTTCCAGGTATTTATTTTGTGGTGATTTACTTAAAGAGATTATGGCTCTTGTGGTCCAAATTTGTGTGTGTGTGTGTGCATGTGTACATGCATGTGTATAATTTGCCATCAGGTTGACAACTTGAGTACAAAATGGTGAGCTATTAAGAACAAGGGCAAAGAAAATCTCCAAAACTCTTACAGAAAGGGTTCTGCTTGAGGCATTTCAAGTGAGTGGATGCACACTTAGGAAAAGTGAGTGGAACCTGATGATAGGGCAGATACAGTCCTCATCTCTTGAGACTTTTGGCTCATTAGCATTGTTTATGCTACATAATTTTTTAATTAAAAAATTGACTTGCCTTACAGTTCTTTCCATCAACTCACACATCATTTCTTAGTACATCTTGGAACTTGCATTAAGCAGAAGTTCATGCACACCCATGTGTCATCAGCTCTGCCTCTCTGTTCCTCCTTGCTGTAGTGTGCTGCCTTGTCTTGGAGGAATGTTGTTGAGCTGTAAACAAAGGCGTTTTGAGGCTTGAGGAGTGGTTTTTTTGTTTGTTTGTTTGTTTGTTTGTTTGTTTTTAAGTAATTAGTACTGTAGTAGTAATATGAAATCAAAGGTTTTCTTACTGTAAAAGTTCAGGTCTTGTATAGTGCTTATAAACTTCAGTATCTGGTTTATAACAAAACTAATTATCTATTGATTTCTTGATAGTTTCTAAAACAGAAAAATAAGCATCTAAAGTTTAGAATTCTTGGAATATAACAACACTTGAGATTGTGTTATTAAACACAATCTCAAAAGGCTATTTAAAATTAGCCTTTTTCTGCTTATTAGAAAAATCAGTAAAGAAAAGGGGATTATAAACTATATGAGATCTAACCAACATTTCATGTACAAAGACTATTTTTCTCTGACCAGGGCAATTTAATAAGTCTGTAAAATTGATTTTTAAAATATTTAGCATGTTCCAAATTAATAGACAAGTGTCATTTTCAACACAGTAAAACATAATAACTACAACATACTTTCGAATAAAAAGTTTAAATTCTGGCTGTCACTTATTAGTTCAATGATTTTATAACTCAATTTTTTCACCTATAAAATGAGGATGATATCACTGGAAGGAGCAACTGAGGTGATTGGACATAGTGCTTGGCTCATACAGGCCCACAGCAAATTGTAAAATCATTATTTTCATTATAGTATCTGGTGAATTCTTACAAATGTTTAAGTGATGTTCTGACCTAGTTATAATAATTATAGCTAATATACTAAGTATATTTGTATCTATGAATTGTATTTTACTACCCTGGAGGAAGATGATCAGTAAAAACATATAATTTGGTGGAAAATAGTGGTCTTTGTGATTGTTATGTAGCCAAGCAGTGTGCTCATAACCCCCGGCCACCCTTCTGGCTTATCCTAAGGAAATGACATCTGCCATAGCATCAGTTCCCTTCAAGTAAGGAAGAATAGTTTTTGGCTGCTTGGTTTTATCATTAACACAGTTATTTAAGCTTTAGAATAAACCTGTGACAGGACTGAGAATGCATGCCGATATAAAACTGAAGTATGGTACCTTTAAATATCATATTACTGTCACACACATTAACCCCTTTAAAACTTTACAGTGAGTGTATTATGTTACAGTTTGAAGTAAGCGTTCTCTGTTTCTTTAACGTCATGATTCTCTCTCTACCATCCAAAGAAAAAAGATCATTTAGAGCAAAGATGAAATACTCAGTTATTTCCATAATGGAGATCCAAGGACTATCTCCTGTAAGTAGCTTCAAATTTTAAAACTATGAAGCATTTTTAATTTTCTCTCACTGCAAATGTTCTTTCTTTGCCCTCCTCCCTGTCATATACACTTTTTGGGGGGGCCTGAGGCCACATAATGTTGGAAAGAACTGCCTCTCTAAAGCAGTGTTATTTCTTGCTGTAGTACTGGGAGAAATCTAAGCTGCTCTGAGACTGCTTTCCTTCTGCCCGGGATTCCCCGTGGCTGTACAAAGTGATTGAGCTTAGAGCCTGTAACTGTGCCTCTGGGAAAGAGTGGCTATAGGCAGCTGTGGAATGTCTCCTGCTCCTTTCTTCCCCAGTGTGACCAAGAGCCGCTTCAACATCTGCACAACTCAGCAGTCTTGTCAAGCTGAACCCTCAGCTACAGAAGGAATGTTTCATAGAGAAGGCCCTGAAGTTATCTCAGAGTTAAAAGTTTTGTTTATTTAAATACTTAAAACTAGGAAGGTAACTTTAATTTTAAAAAGCATCTCTTTCAAAAAAGCTTGTGCTTTCACTGGTTTTGTGAAACTTGAATTTTGAGGTGAGGGATGAGAGCAGTGGGAAAGTGTGGAGCACACTTGTGAACTATTGGTTTGTGTCCAGTTCTGTACAAAGTGCTGTGGATCTCTGAAATCCAACTGGTTGTGTTCCCAGAATTAAACAATATGCCATTTCAACACAATTTTCTGTCAATTATCTATTGTTGAAAAGCTATCTTCTTAGTTGAAAGATGAGGCTTACAGATGTATGTGAAGAAAAAGCAATCTGAACATTCAGCATGCTGCTAGAAATTGCAAAGCTCTTTTTCTGAAAAGTCAAGCTCTTGCTCTAGTAAGTGTATTTTTTAATGTAAAATCAGCCTTCAATATTTAAGTCTGAAGAGTAAGAAGAAAACATTGTTTAAAAGTTGTGCTGTAAAGTATTCCTTGAGAAATGTTTATAATTCTATGAGAATGTAAATAGTTTCACAGTAATTGTTTTTCAGTTAGAATATTCTAACTTAATTGCAGCGCAGTCTCTTTAATTTCTTGTTCATTAATTTTTAACTAACTTCATAAAAGAATAAGAATAAATTATTTGGTTTCTTTGTGTTTAGGGGATTTATGCCATGTGCAGAAGAGTTGAGGGGATGTTATTTCTGGGGAGTATGAAGGTATTTGGCTTTTCCTCAAATACCCTAATGTTTAGCTGTCTTTTATGTTTTGTTACTTATTAGCATAGGCCAGTTAGATTTGCATACACTATGATATCACTATGACATACTTTTGTTTTCACAACTAATATATCAGCGAAAGTATGTTAAACTGATCAATAACATATTAATGAGTTCATTTGTCTTAACATAAATTTCAGAATTTATTGCTCAGTTTTCCTTCAGAATCACAGAGAAACACTGTGTCTGATTTTGACCCTTGAAGGAGGGACACAATCTTGGGAAATTGCTGTAGAGACCAGGACCAGCCCAGCTTGCTCTTCTCTTCCACTCATGCATCACTTGACTGCTCTCCCCCAAGTGTCAGGAAATTGTGCAGAAAAAACAACAACCAAAAAATTTCTCAGGATATAGATTGAGCCAGCTGGGTAACCGAGCAGTAATGTGCCACATTCACAGGATTGTTCTTGAAATGTCTTCTGGTAAGTGGACTTGGAGGAGCGAGGGCAACATACAGCAGGAAGACAAATTTCTGCTCCATTAACCTTTTTTTTTTTTTAGTGTGAATTCATTTTTTTATTGCAATGACAGATTGGACTATTCTGAACCAGGAAAAGATGTTTTTATTTTTTTGTCATTCAATTAAACTTTAAATTTATTCAGCCTAACTATTTGCATCTAAAATGGAATATAAAGTAAAATGCAGCTATAATTTTTTTCAATGAAAGTATTATGTATGCATAAAAAGAACAGTGCTTAAGTACTTGAATTTGAAGTAGTTTCCAGCAAGTGGGTACAAATGCAAGTTTAATCAATAAGTAGTTGCAAACCCTCAAAATAGATGTTATCTTTATTTCTTTTTCATTGCTCATATTACCAAGTTAATATCAAGGTTATAGGGACCTCTAGTATTGACATTGTTATAAGTGATGGTAGGTCCTGACTTCACCAAACAGTTTTTCTCATTCTTTCTTTGGAATACAATGGATAGATGTTAGTTAACTTTCACAGAAACATAGTGTATTTAATGTCTCAGTTAATCCAAGAAGCCTTCTAGCATCCTTTTTTCTTAAATCTAAGCCACTGAATTACAAAGTTACAAAATATGTTGTCTCCCAATATCTAGAATGATAAATATTTTCTCCCAAGTAGATTACTAGATTAGAGTCCATTTTTTTTAATATGGTTTTAGCTTCATACTCTGCTGAGAGGATTATCTGGTCATTGAAAAAATAAGGAAAACACTCATAAATTAGAATCACTGTATACATACAATGTTCGTTTCTGTATCTACTTATATACGCATGTGTGTATGTGTGTATTCAACAATGTATACACACACACACACACATATTTGCTATGCTGGGGATTGAACCTGGGTCATTGTGCATGCTAGCAAATGTTCTACCACTGAGCTATACCCTGTTTGTTTATATTTTCATATTTGGTGACTATAGATGTGTTTTTAATTTTAAATTTATGTGTATGTGTGTATGTGCCTGCTTGTCTGAATGTGTATCACACGCATGCAGTGCCCATGGAGATCAGAAGAGGACATTGTATCCCCTAGAGCTGGCGTTCTAGGCAGTTATGTGCTTCCCTATGTGTGTGCTGGCAGTCAAGCCTAAGTCCTCTGAAAGAGCAGCAAGTGATTTTAACCATTGAGCCATCTCTCTAGCCCATGTAGATGGGCTTTTAATGTTATGTACATTGCTTAGTTTATAATAATGATATGAAGCTTTATAATATAGTTTGAATTGTCCTGTAGCCTTTTTCTACTTTGCTGTTGGGCTTGCAAACACATTGTCATCATTATATGAAATAATTTAATACGTATTAAGCCCCAAAGTATCTATGTACATGCAAAACACAGATTTCCATTGGTGGAAAGATGAATAACCCATCTTTGCAAATCAAAGCTATGTCAGTGATTCTCAACCAGGGGAGAGTTTTACTCCCAGGGTGCACCTCTGTCTCTGTCTGTCTGTGTGTCTGTCTATTTGTCTGTCTCTCTCCGTGCATGTGTGTGTGTGTGTGTGTGTGTGTGTGTGTGTGTGTGTATGTATATGTGTGTGTATGA